AGGGAAACACAGTTATATTTAAAGATTAGCATCAAAATCTAAACAACAGTAATTCTGTCTGGAAAATCCAGTACTTACTCATTTTTTAAAATGAACTTTACCTCTAAATTTAAATAGTGACCTATTTCCATAACCAACACTATTTTTAAGAGCTGTTCATTTACATCAAGGTATTCATTACAAGGAAAACTTAAAGTGAGAAAATACTCAAAAGTATCATTACAGAACCATAAAACACTTGTAACATGTGCTTTTATCACCCAAATAATTGTATTCACAGCAAATTTATCATGCAGCTAATTTAACTTGTCTAAGTGAAAATAAGATGCACTATATTTGCAATATCTAGTCTCAAGGGCCACATTTCAATTATTCTTCCTACACACCATAATGACATATAATTAAATTGTAACCTTGCCAAGACAATTTTACACATTTCCTGTAAATACACAGATCAAAGTAAACTTTTTAGCAGTTAGAGCATCTATCATCCTCCTACAGCACTAATCACTTTATGGCAGCAAAGATAACCAGCCAATGTATATTTAAGATACACTGTACTTACACTGCAACTTTCTCTGGTTTCCATTTTTAACACTGAGTAAGCGTTCCACTGAATTTTAATATGACAACATAGGTTACCAACATAACTGATTTTATAGAAGTGACCCATAACACACCATGAAGTTAAATTACTCCCAGTATTAATTTTCAGTATTCATCAGTCCAACAGGATCTTGCATTTGTTCAGAAAACAAAATGTAACTAGTACCATAAAAAGAAATTGTTTAATTTATTTGAAAGACATGTTCATTGGTTAAAGCCATCAGTTATGATATTAGAGGAATAATATGACAATTAGGTGGTTTGGGGTTTTTTTAATAATGAAACCAGCATGCAGACACTTCCTTTTGCTTATTCAGTGAACAACAATCCTGTAACTCCACATACAACCTCTTTAAATAAAAAAGTGACCTCAGTAAAACAGTACCTCTACAGACAGCATGCATCAGCCACCTTTTGCATAAATAATTCTGTAGTCGATTCCAACGTAATCCTGACAGATTCATGGAGAAGCCCAACAGTTTAAAAGCCATCAATTCAGGCTTATTCTACACTTCAGTATACATGGATCAAAAAAGAAAAAATGCAATGCAGACAAAGCAACACTTATACTTTACAGAAGACAACTTTTATAGCATATTACTGTGTAAATCAACCTAAACTTCTATTTAATAGAGCAGAAAACACTTTGTTTTAAAAGCTTACCACTTAAAAACCTATACCCACCTCACAAAATAATGTAAGCTTATCATCTGGTAGAAGACCATTAGCTTCATCTAGTAAAAAATCTCTTCGGATGAATTTCTTAAATCCCCAGTCCTTGCCTTGCACAAATCGATACGCTCTTTGGCTTTCTGATAAAAAACAGTTGTGTACAAATAAAGCAAGTTAAAAATATTAACAGATAATAAAACCTAGATTCTATATTAAGGCTAAGTGTTAACAGAAAAATTACGCTATTTAACACATCTGGATTATGTGTCATTTTTAGGAAACCCACAAATGATTACATTTATTTTTTCAATATTGTACTGGTGTCATTTTACAAAACACTTGTAGAACTTAGCAGAGCACAATTTGCAATTCAAACCATATCCTCCCCTTAGGTGTTATCTTAAGCACCATCCACCAAAAGAGGAGTTTTTCAGTTAATGTTCAAGAATGCCAACATGTCAAAACAGAAACTGTTCACAGGAAAATACTATTACAATGAATTTGTCATCACAAACACATCCTGACAACACTTCTGCAGTTGTCACAACAATCTGGTTTGACTTCTTCCTGAAACGGGAAATCTTGCTTCACAGGTTGAAATTATTTTGAAATACAGTAAAAACATTAAAAAGGCAAAAAGGAAATAAAATCTTTCACGTAACAATTTCTTCGGTCATAACAAGATGTTATTTATAGTTAACTTTCAGCCACAGTTACGAGAATTACTCTTTTTAATCTATTAGGTTGGCTGTGACCACACAACCCTTTTTTCTTTTTCCAGTTCTAATGTTCACAGACCACAAAGGGGTTCTCAAGGTCGTATTAGTACAAACACATGTAATTAAGAAAGATTAGTTAATTTACATGGCACATACACTGTAAGGTGACCACTTGTTCCACAAACTGAACCACAGGAGAGAGTGCCATATACTTTTACGTTGAACTAAACCACGGGCAAGTGGCTATTTGGGAATGGCTTTGAGAATACATGCAGAATAAACCATGTTCTCCATATTTAACAAGATCATTCAAAGCTAAGAGAGCAAGAATACTTCTGAAATAAAGCCAGAGGATGGGGTTGGGGTGGGGAAATCTCAAGAAGAGGTCTAAGACATAACTTTGATTCCACAAAAGCTTGGCAAGAAACACGTCACCATTTAATTTGCTGTATGGATAGATACTTCAGCCCTCTGGATAGCAATTTAGAAGTTTAAGTCAGAAGTTTGTCATAAAAGCACAGTATTTTTCATGCCAGAATCTGTTAAAATATCATTCCTTCTACAATATCCAAAATAAAGACAGCAGGGATGTCAGACTTCTCTATGCTAGCTGACTGGGTAGCATCACTGGAACAGACTTGCCCATGTAACACACCGTGTAGGTTAGAAAACATACATGTGTAATACCTCGCCCTCACTGCCAATAGCTGGAGAAATTCCATTAGCAACAGTTTTCCCTAGAATTGGATCAAGCAAAATATGCAGTACAGACTTTGACTGTATTCTTCTTTTAATACAGCAATGAACAAGTCTGGAACTGACAATGCAGGAGGTGTCTCTACCCCCTGTCACCTTATCACACCTGCAACCCAAGAAGCCCTTACCCATGCAGGCAGAAATGCATTTACCGCAGCACAGTGCGGGCTTTGAGGGCAACAGAACAAACAGAACACTCTTCAAATTTTTAAATCCGTATGCCAAGGGAGAAAAAATTGCCATTTTAAAAACTATTGCTTCTTTTTTTGGTGTCTGGATTAGTGTTTTCACGTTTTACCAACTTGCCAAAAACTCACAATGAACCTCATGAAATTCAATGAGAAAAAAAATCAGAAAAATCACATGTAAAAAACATGTTCAAAAATTTCTTCTCTACATGCAGCCCAATTCTTTATTCTGCAGACTTCAATTTTACTGTTATCAGCAAGAACCAGTGCTAACCCTCCGAAATTAAGTGCCCAGTAGCAATTTAAGTAAACAAAACCACAGAAATAAAGTGTCATAGAAGCGTAAATGTACTTTTATTCTTTCCAATAAAGTTAAAATGTTAGTTTGTTACCTATTTTAGGCACAGCTTCATCACTTGAAGCAGCAGTCTATGCATGAATTATCAATTTACAAAGGACTGCTAAGGATGGGCATCATTATACTGTGTAAATAAAAACACATCTCCAGAAGCAGATGGCAAATGGCTGGAAAGTCCAGGAAATATAATTTGTTGGTAATTTCCCAAAATGAAAATAGGCTTATAACTCCTCTAGTGCCAAATACAGGACTGCTACTATTGCAGAAACTGGACACATCTACTCATAGGATTTTGGGGTTTTAGCACCTTGTGATTTTTAGCATTTAAAGAAACGCTTGGCAAATAACCTTCAGGAGTACCTCTCTGACATGTCTGTAAGTCTCACACACAGCATGAGGAAAAAACCAGGACCGATGAGAGGTCTGCGTGCCACCGCAGGGCTACCACCTCCCTGGCCTCGGAGACACAGCGGGATAGCTCACGCGACTGGGCTGCAGAGGCAAGGGTGCTGCCCATTACATGAGAGCCGCAGGAGTGTGCGGAGCTCTGCCTCGGGATGGATGATGAGACAGCTGAGAGTTGTGGGTTGGGATTAGTGAGCAATGTTGGGCCTGGCGTCTGCTACAAACCTACTGATCAGAAGAAAACGACTGATGATTGGGATCCTGGTGGGCAACAAATGAGCAAGAGCCAGCAATTAACCTCTAAGGCAAAAGAGGACCAACAGCATCTAGTTAAACACTAAAAGGAGTTGCCCAGGTAAGCTGTGGAGTCTCCATCCTTGGGAGATATTCAGAGCATGGCATGTTCCAAGAAAACAGCTCCAGTTGACCAAGCTTTCAGCAAGGAATTTGGACTAGACAACTCCAGAGGTCTCCTGCAGCTTCAACGATTCTGTGACTGATTATCTCAAAACATGTTTTGATGGTGTACCTCACACTGCAGTCCATCCTTGGGAGATATTCAGAGCACGGCATGTTCCAAGTAAACAGCTCCGGTTGACCAAGCTTTGAGCAAAGAGTTTGGACTAGACAACCTCCGGAGGTCTCCTGAAGCCTCAACGATTCTGTGATTCTGATTATCACAAAACATGTTTTGACGGTGTACCTCACACTGCAATTTCATCTAGTTAGATACACCAATCCACTACTGGACTGGAAGACTGTCTCAAGACAAAAGCAATGATCCACCAAATGGATAAAAGCATTGTTGTGTCCATATATGCTCCAGAACCAGGAGGCTTGAAGGGATTGAAGCCACCAACACCACCAGAGCAAGAGGATGAAAGCAGAGAGAAACATACACATTTACTTCTCTTCCACTAAGTCCAACCACTGATTTTTTTTAGGTTTGAACTCAGATCTGTGGACTAATTTTATATAAGCAGGCCTAGTAACCTAAAGAGAAAGTAGCATCAACTTTGGGTACAAGTACTGGAGAACTACAGATTTTCCAAGAAATTCAGAAGTGGCAAGATCTCTCAAATTCTGGAGTAGGAGGAAGGAAGAACAGGAGAGACATTCTTCCTGCTAAGGACTAGCAACAGCACAAACTCAGTGCAGACCAATATTAAATTACACATTTTCATGAGAATTCAAGCTTTCCGAAAAAGCGTTTCCAGTCAAGGTTGTGCTTATAAGTTTGAAAGTAAGAGCCAAACATTTTTTGTATCAAAAAGGCAATTAAATCACTGATTATTTCCAAGTCTAATTCTTTGGGTACATGGCTCATGTTTTTAAGCTGATTACAGTGTAAATCAGATGAAATAGACCAAAACATTGTAAAGGAGTGTCTAAAAAAAAAAAATAAAAACAACCACACATTTATCCTAATTAACTATGGAAATCAAACACTGACTTCCACTATAGATAAAAAAAAGTAATACCCCCCTACTAACTGGAAGCAAGAATAATCTGCTAGAAAAGCTAAGTGACAAGAATCTGGAGTGATGGCAGTTAGTAATGTGCTGTAATTTATACTGCTCGGGATAGAATTAACATAGCTCAGTGATCAGAAATGTGTGAAACGAGTAAGATTTTTAATTAAGCTCCTAAAAGGATATTAAAAAACATTTTAAAATTTATCTCAGTATTAAATTCTGTTCTCAACTGAAAAAAATTACAACACTGATTTTTCTTTGGGATGCTCTTACAAATCCACAGGCAATACATTAAGATTCCCTTACCCATTGCTTTTGTTTCTTCTCTTTTAGCATTCAGCAAGGAAAATTTGAATTTTGCTCTGACTTCACTTTTTGGACAACTGACTAAAAGCAAATATAATGACAGGTAGTCTTTGCTTTCATCATCTAATCCCTTTGGATTCACTCTCAGGCACCTGAAAGAAACGCAGAAATTATACATTTTTAAAACTGCACCCAGAATAAATCAGAAATATTTTTATAAGATCGATGATACATGCTACTGAAACAAATGTTTCCCTTATGACTGTTGAAACTTTGAAATTCAAACCAATCTGCACCTATAGTAAAATTTCAGGAAAGCTCAAGTTTTAATATTTATTTGCAATTTAACTTTACAACTTTTGAATGGGGACAAAAACAAAACCCACACCAAAGCAGCTGCTAGAATAAAAACCTTACCACTTCATTTTGTCATTTGGCCCTGATGAAAATGTAGAACTCTTTAAGACTTCACCCATTTCTTCTCGGCAAAAACTGAAGTTATTAATGGTCCACATGTAGGAAAATTTTACTACTTTAACCTGAACAAAAGATGTAGAAAATGTCAATAATAGTTTATGCTTGAAATGTAAGTTAGAGAACTAATGAGAACTAATTAGACTGTCAGCACAACTCAATTTTTAGAGGTTTTATTATTATGACTAGAGAATAAAGCTATTAGAATTTATGTAGATTACCTGTGTGTAACACCAGCTTTCAGCCACAGGTCCACTGGACATCTCCCCAGGAGGAGGTGGGGTGGGAACCCTTGACATTGCCACCTATTGCAGGTTTATAGTATCAAGATAGCAATCCAAACTTCAGTAATTCTCCTAAAAAAGCAATTAATATATTTTGTTCAAAATTTCTAAGCATGGAAATAAAAAAATCCATACTTTGACATCCATATCACCACATTTACTAAACGATGCATCTGAAAATAACACTAGACAAGAGGACAATGCCTTTGTTATTTAGGCAAGCTGGGTGTCACAGTCACTAATGACCTCTTGTACTAAAAATCCACAAGCTGAACCCTCAGTGCCATACTTCATAAAAGCAAGTGCCTATGCATCATAACGATACCACTAACGACATTATTTCAACATCACCTTTGCAAATTACCACCTTGATCCCTCCAGCCATGTTATAACTTTCTTCGGGATCTTCTCCTTTGATCTGGAGAGTAACCAGGGCGCCGTGAACACTCGGTTATTAGTACCAATGCGTTAGCTGTCCACACGGGCATCGTTCAGTTCTCAAACAGCACCTAGCCAGCTGGGAGTAGAATACGTCCAAACAACACTGGGATTCCTCAAGGGAGGGTAAGAAATTAAGCTTCCACTTAAAATAGTATTTTCTTCACATCTTTCATGGTTGCCTTGTACCTTTAATACCAACAGATTTGATTGAGGAACTATAGCCACCACAATCACATGCTCATTCCTTTACTAAAGCACGAAGGTGAAGAACAATTTAAGTCAACTCACCAACTCTGACAAACTTTCTAATAGCAAGTAAAGCAATTTTGTTATGGATTATCACCCAGAGCACTACAATTTCTCCTCCCCACTGGAAACTGAGTCACATGCCCAGATGCATCACATCACATCTAGCAAAGGCACACAGTCAGCCTAATTGCACTAGCCTTTGCTCATATCTAATGAAAGAAGGGGGGCCTGTCAGGGGGCTGACTCTCCTTTAGGTCGGGCTTCCTGTCATCTTCAGAGGTTTCGGCCAGAAGCACAGCTTCCCACTTAAGCAGCTCCATTAAATTGCTAAAAAGAAGTGAAATGAACCCTGATCAAAGCAGATGGAAGTCACAATTGTTTCTGTCACAAAACATTTTCTCTCCATGCAGAAGTTTCTTTAAACATATCCTGCAACAAGTTTAGAAGGCCACAAATCTTTTTGCAGCATGAGTGCTTCACCACATACATATTTTCACTCGTGATAGAACAGCACTGTCTTACTCAAAAGATGTGATTGCACATCACTGATGATGTTGGAACACTTCCTTCAGGGATGGGCAACGCTTCGAAACAAGGTTTTATGCAAAGATTGGTAAGAAGGCACTGCAAGGCCACATGCAATTCAGTCATGATGCGAACAAGTTAATTATTCCTGTGGGAAGAAGAATAATTCTCTGCAAATCACTATGATCCTCAGTGGATGCTTTCCCTCCTGCCTTTCCTGTACCTCTTCTCACTCACTTGGGAGATGAATTAGCCCTTCCACTTTAAAGTCTGCTGACATGGGAATCACTCTGAATTAAACACGTATAAAAACCTTGAAAACCAAACTCATTCTCAGCTTTTATCAGATGAGGAAGCAGATGCTATACAATCAGATCTCTTAACAGATCTACCGTGACAAAATGAAAAGAAAAAGAACCACTAAATAGGTCTCCTGCAAGACACGGATCATTGAGACACTCAAGTGTAATCGCAAACACAGTTCAGCTGCCTCACATAAGAGCTAAGACTTTTTGTCCAGATAAAACTTGTGTTTACTAGTGGTAATCTTCAGTAATTACTTTCCATTGATTATAACTAGTTACAAACAGCCACCCTAGATTTAAAAATAACCAAACTTGCTTGCCCTGTATTTTTTAAAGCAGGAATCGTATGTATCGCAGAAGCTGCGTTCACATAATTCTCATTTACAGGTTTACAATTTGATTCTCTGTACAGAGGTACTCCAGAGTAAAATTCCTGGGAAGGACACATACGAACGTGCCACCTTCATAAAGCGTATACTGGTACTTGTATTACCATTATTTTTGTAAGCACATCCTCTTCAGTGTTAACAACTGAAGCTGTATCCATGATGAATTTTATATAGCACCATATCCTGAAAGTGTCAGGACAGGCCTTACTGAACCTGTTGGCTCTTCTTCAATTCTCCAGAGCTAAAGCCAAGAAGAAAACACAGGTCATTCCTTATTCTGCCATTTGCATGGTACACCCAGGACGTCTCAGCTCTAATCTGTTCCTCAGTTCTTTTCAGTCCACTAGAGCAGTCAGCTCCTAGTAACCATGAAGCAGCAGCAGATCTGAGCCAAGTCTGCTCTGCAGAGGTCTCTAAATTGAAAAAGGCTGAAAATAACTGCTGTGCAGTATCCTCTTTAGAAAGTGTCCAGTGACCTTATGTCAGCTCTCAGTAGTTATCTGCCCCCTCCTGTCTCACCACTAAATCAGCCTGATTCACTGAGAATATAACTCTAAGCAAAGGTAGTTATTTTCAATTATTTTCAGGCCTGTCTCTGCACCTGTTCTATCCAGGGCATTTGTACTTCAGAGGCTGCTTCCACCTGCTGCATGGCTTTTATTATTCTGACAGAAGCCATGGTTTTACATATGTACACTTTTCAGATCCTTCTGAATAGCTTCAGCATTTTGTGAGGTTTCCCACTACAGCATTAGGACCAGACAACTGATTTTCATGAGCTCCTGATACACCTTTGAGGAACAGATTTGTGTCTCACTTGTTTTTGGCATGGATTTACTAAGTCATTTTTTTAGATTGGGAAGAGGGGAAGAAAGCAGTAACTTTGAACAGTTTGATATCATACTGGGAGCCTGCATTGAAGAGCAGCCTTATTTTTTAATATGCCTGGATGCATAGTTTTAAAAAAAATTAAGCCAACAAACAGCAAGCTGAACAATGGAGAATGAATAAACAGAGCATCAGATGTCTGTTAAGACATACTGAAAGACTGCCAGGTAGCAACAGGGAAACAGTATAGCAGTGCTACTGATCTGCCTCTCACTTAAAGCCGGGGAGGGGTGGGAACAGGATGACTTTTTACAAAGGCCTGTAGTGACAGGACAAGGGGTAACAGGTTTAAATTGAAAGCGGGGAGGTTTAGATTAGATATCAGGAAGAAGTTCTTCCCGGAGAGGGTGGTGAGGCACTGGGACAGGTTGCCCAGAGAAGCTGTGGATGCCCCATCCCTGGAAGTGTCCAAGGCCAGGCTGGATGAGGCTTGGAGCAACCTGGTCTAGTGGAAGGTGTCCCTGCCCATGGCAGGGGGTTGGAACTAGATGGGCTTTAAAGGTCCCTTCCAACCCAAACCGTTCTGTGATTCTATGAAGGTGAAAGAGAACACCAATTTCAATAATGATATCCCTGAAGTGTAGAGGTGTTTGGGGAAGGATTTTTTCAGTCCCAAGCTGATGGCCAGACCAATTCAGCCACCGCATACCCTACTCGCTTCTGTGGCCACCGATGGTCACCAGTGCAAAGTGGACCTCGCACAGGCAGGCTGAAGGTGAGGAGGAAAAAGATGCACCTACACGCTCACCCTTTGTTCTATGTACTCTGTTCAGGGAGAAGACCAAACACTACTTTGAAGAGTGTTTATGAATCATTGATTAGCCATTGTAATAATCTCTGACAAAAAGGTTTTTTAATTACCAAAGCCTCATTGCAGGCTATTACATCAAATGACTGGGAAGAGTCAGAGCTGCAGTCTGCAAAACCAGTCAGGGAATGACTGGGTGGAATTAAATCAATCAAGCATAGGACACAGGCCTGTTATCTGCAGGATGAAACAACTTAGAGGGACAACGTTCATGTTACAACCTGCATTTATTCTTCTGCAGGCTACTGCGAGCAAAGTGTCAGAGGTGACAGGACACGATCAGGTAACACCTCCGAGCGTTTCCAGGCAGTGCCGTGCCTGTCCAGACAAGGCTTGGCAAACCAGTCAGCACGGCCACTTTGCCAGGCCGAAGGCTCTGGCCATCAGAGTAAACATGCACTAGGAACGCTAAAACAAGTTATAATGGATGAGGGCAAAAATTTTCTGGCTTTCAAAATGAAAATCAGGGATGTATTTTGAAGTGTGTCAAGTAGCTGTTGTTTGTGTGGTTGGTTTGGAGGGTTTTGGTTTTTTTAATGAAGTGATATGCCCATACTGATTGCAGTGCAGCAGTCTGATGATTTTACACTGAGAGTTTGCTTTCATTACGTTACTTCAAAGGAGGGAAGAAAATCCCAAAGGTATTTTACTTAACTTGTACCCCAAACATGATGGGCTTCTCACTTCTTCCACTGGTTTCTTACAGAAGGTATTGGTTTCACCTCCTAATCACTTGGCCAAGTAGAACAGTCTCTCTTAAATCAGGATCTTCATGGAGATGAGTACAAATTGCAAAGCAGTAGTGGGCAAGTAGGCAGAAATAACTAAAAAAGAGGGATTTATCAAAGCATATTTTACTTAGGAATCAGTAGAAGCACATTCCTATTCAAATACTTCCGTTAAACTTCAAGCCATCTGTGGTGGGTTGACCATGGGTGGAGGCCAGGAGCCCCCCAAAGCTGCTCTCAGCTGGGCATGGGAGAGAACACATAACAGAAGGCTCGTGGGTCGAGAAAAGGACATGGAAGAATCACTCAGCAATTATAGTTGTGGGCAAAACAGACTCAACTTGGGGAAATTAGTTCATCACCAATCAAATCAGAGTAGAAGAGAACTAAAACCAAATCTTAAACACACCTTTCCCCCACCCCTCCCTACTTCCCAGGCTCAGCTTTACTCCCCCTGCCCCCCCCCCCTCCCTACTTCCCAGGCTCAGCTTTACTCCCCATTTCTCTCCCTCCCCCCAGGAGTGGTGCAGGGGAAGGGGAATGGGGGCTGTGGTCAGTCCATCACACATTCTCTCTGCTGCTCCTTCCTCCTCAGGGGAGGATCCTCAACTCAGCCCCTGCTCCAGCATGGGGTCCCTCCCACAGAAGACATTCCTCCACTGATTTCTCCCACGTTGAGTCCTTCCCAGGGGCTGCAGTTCTCCATGAACTGCTCCAGTGTGGGCCCCCCCCACGGGGTC